GGCTGAGCCTAGCTGGGCCGTTCATGCTGATTTTTATAGGTATATTGAAAAGACTCGCTTTGCACGTTTCACGCTTGCTCGTAATGAAAAAGTTGCTGGATGCCTCTGGAATTTGCATGGGTGCCAACGGCTGCGGGAGGACAGGGGAACGCGTCCATCAGTTTGAGTTTATGGACGGGAGTGGAGACTCCCTGAAATTTCAACCAATGTTTTTCTTTTTTTCTCTATTTTTTTTTACCTCTGAGCATGTTTGCGAAAACAAAGTGGCCGAAATCCGAGGAGAAATCGGATTTTGGGGGTAGGTTAGGTTTTAGATCTCTGGGACCCTGGCCCCCCACTTTCGAAAACGTTCCTACGCCTATGAGCTATGGTGCAGCATAGCAAGACTCCTATACCAGCCCGCTATGTAGAGACTAGAGATTATTGCACCCTCAGCCATTTTAACGTGAGAAGTTTGGATCCGTCACTTCCAGCCAGGCTCTCAGGTCATAAACTGGAGTAAAGCAAAATGTCAACTCTGAACAGACATGCCACGCAACCGGCCCTCTTTTCAATATTATTAGCTTTCTGCAATCATCGTCTGACTCCATCTCGATCAAACGCAGCATCCGGTTTCTACAGGGCGTTTGACTGACCGGCCACACAATAACAAAAAAAAAAAAATCAAAGCTTCATGCACACATATGCCATACGTAAGAAACGGATGAAAAAGGCACAACCACGGCACAACTCTGCGCGGCAAACAACGGACAATGTCCCACGCAAGATCCCGCGTTTCTTCAGCGGCCTTGAACGGAATGAAAACATTACATTTCTTTTTTGGAGCTATTTGATGACGTCAAAAAATACCATACCCGTTTTAATGGTCAAAATCGAGACATTACTCACAAAAATGTTTCTCTTTAAGCATTACAAATAAATACTTTTAAATATTTAAATGACATTGTTTTTTCAAACAAATTAATATTATTTGCTTACTTAAACGTCATATACAATGCTGAGATCACTACGGGCCGTCATAGAGTGTAGCTGCACTGGCAACCTTTAGGCTAGACTCCAGGGTCATTATACCAGAACAACATGATTCTACCAGCCAGTAGTTCATTTTTCTACTAGATTGGTGCTACGCTCAGCATTTAGGTGCCAGATTCAGAGAAAAGAGTAAGGCGTACCGATGAATAGGTGCCAGAAACAGCTAATTAAGGTCATTTTCCATGATTGGTGCTGGTATCCACCAAATAGGTGCTGAGGACCAATTTTGGGGCGAGTCAGCTTTTAGATGCCAGAAATAGCTTTTCTGGGACGCAATTAAATGGCGTCCGTTGTTTTTTGCTTTCTGAGGTAGGATATCAATGACAACTGACATTGAAGTGTATGTACAAATTCAGAGTTTTGGTGTAAGTTCAACTAGAGGAAAACGCCCATACAGCTTAGATAGACGCCTAATACAGTTAGCAATGGCCAATGGCATTATCCCGGACAAGCAAACGGGGTAAAAAGTGACAGCAATACCTCCACGTAATCCCAGAGATAGGTGTGCTACCTAGCTGGCAATTTGTCCTGCTCTGCGTCAGGCCACGTCTGAATTAAATGAACTAGCATCATATTCAAATTTCAATCATTGGCATCTCAAGCTCCCGGAATTCATCGCTATTTTGTCTTCTACCAAAATTAGAAGCCCAATGCGGATGCAGTAGGCCTTATTGCATATTCAATGTCATCGCGCTACCTACGCCACTGACTGGTGTGTTAGCGATTACTTGGGCGTCATCGGCAGAAATACGAAAATAAGTCTTTAGGTCAAGGTGTGGATCACTGTAATGCTTTTAATTAGGCAGAGAGCAAAGGGAAACTGTTCTTCCAGCAACCAAAGCTAGCGCTCGATTAAAACTCTCCCTCATCAAACTCCTCTCTATTTTCTCCCTGGCTTTCAGCAAACTTCTTTGTTGTGTGCCGGGTCGCCCCCATCACACGCCCCACAATACACCCACGGGACTCTCTGTCGCTGCCCGTTACCCGCTGTCCCTGCTTCATGTGACAGTTGCTTGTTTACCTTACCGGTCCGGAGTCGTCTACTGCGACTAATTACTGTGCTCTTTGCCCCGGGGCAGTGCGGGGGCTGAAACTGGCCTCCATGGGGGAGTGGAGGGGATCAGGGGGGGGGGGATGACGGTGGCTTGGACTTTGGAGGAGGCGGTCCGAAGGCGGGGATGGGATGGCAATGGGAAGGGAAACGAGCTGGAGGCGGGGACATAGCGAGGGCGTCAGCGAGAGGCGGGGATAAGGCGGGAGGGGTGGTGGTAAGAGGGAACCAGAGGCGGGGCAGGCCAGGAGCGGTATCAGGGGAATATAGAGGAGAGGGAGGTCGAGCAAAGTGGAGCGAGACAGAAGGGGAGAGGGAGAAGGCGCTCAGAGAAAGAGGAAGGGAGCAACTCCGAGAGAGAGAGAGAGAGAGAGAGAGAGAGAGAGAGAGAGAGAGAGAGAGAGAGAGCAAGAGTGACACATACAGACAGACAGACAGACAGACATGAGAGAGAAATGGAGGCAGGGAGGGAGAGAAAGCAGCTCAGAGAAAGAGGTGGAATGAGGAGGGAGAAGAGAGAGAGAGAGAGAGAGAGATAGAGAGAGAGAGAGAGAGGAGAGAGAGAGAGAGAGAGAGAGAGAAGAGAGACGAGGGGGTCCCGGAATGTCGATGTCTGGACGCGACGGAAGCGCGGAGGTGGCTGCCTTCCCTGCAGCCTCTGTTTATCAGATCAAGTTACCTGCAGCATCACTGAACTTCTCTCATAAGCAGCGCATCGACAGGGTGGTCTCACGACACGATGAATCTGCTCTAAATTTAGATCGATGGGATGGAAGGGAGTGTATCGTAGTCTTCAGCACAAGTTTTTTATTTACAAACAGATATCTAGAAAAATCCTGTCGTTAAAGGTGCATTGCTGTGCGTCCTATTTCACTGCGCAGTTTTGTTACGTTACCAGGAACTAAATATGGATAAATGCTGAGTTCCGAAAGGCTTCAAAGTATATAAAACGCTTGAAAATGGAGCCGCTTCTGAAAACCATAAACGTTATGCAAATCCCTTCATGACAATGTGGCAAATAACCCTGACAGTGTATTGCAAATTGCAAACCCAATATTAACTTCAACATGACCTTGTTTAGCTGATATGTTCAGGCAATACTGGTGCGTGGTAACTGCTAAACGATAGCCGGGTTCAAAAACAGCATTGGCGGAGCATCAGAGTAGCTAAAAAAGGAGATGAGATATGAAGATTTGGAAGGGACAGCCCGAAATCACGTTATTTCATAAAGCATAGTGAAAGGTGGCGGCGTGAACACGGATGTAATTAAAACTTTCACCAGGAAAGTTACGGAGACGTCTTTTTACTTACAAAGGCAGCGATTTAATTGTTAATGGCGTGATATGTGGTGTTATATAATACTGAACGAGGCCGGTGTAAATAAATTTTCAAGACCGAGGTCCTTACTGATTTTTGAACGAGGCCGAAGCCGAGTTCAAAAATCCAGTAAGGACCTCGGTCTGAAAATTTATTTACCCGGCCTCGTTCAGTATTATATAACACCACATATCACGCCATTAACAATTAATCGCTGCCTTGTAAGTAAAAGACGTCTCCGTAACTTTCCTGGTGAAAGTTTATTACATCCTGTTCACGCCCGCCACCTTTCACTATGCTTTATGAAATAACGTGATTCGGGCTGTCCCCTTCCAAATCTTCATATCTTCATCTCCTTTTTTAGCTACTCTGATGCTCCGCCAATGCCTGTTTTTGAACCCGGCTATCGTTTAGCAGTTACCACGCACCAGTATGCTGAACATTATCAGCTAAACAAGGTCATGTTGAAGTTAATATTGGGTTTGCAATTTGCATACACTGTCAGGGTTATTTGCCACATTGTCACTGAAGGATTTGCATAACGTTTATGGTTTTCAGAAGCGGCTCCATTTTCAAGCGTTTATTATACTTTGAAGCCTTTCGGAACTCCATTTATCCATATTTAGTTCCTGGTAACGTAACAAAACGCGCAGTGAAATAGGACGCACAGCAATGCACCTTAACGACAGGATTTTTCTAGATATCTGTTTTGTAAATAAAAACTTGTGCTGAAGACTTACGATACACTCCCCTTCCACTACCATCGATCTAAATTTAGAGCAGATTCATCGTGTCGTGAGACCACCCGTCGATGCGCTCTTATGAGAAAGTTCAGTGATGCTGCAGGTAACTTGATCTGATAAACAGAGGCTGCAGGGAAGGCAGCCTCCTCCGCGCTTCCGTCGCGTCCAGACATCGACATTCCGGGACCCCCTCTCCTCTCTCTCTCTCTCTCTCTCTCTCTCTCTCTCTCTCTCTCTCTCTCTCTCTCCTCTCTCTCTCTCTCTCTCTCTCTCTCTTTCTCCCTCCCTCATTCCACCTCTTTCTCTGAGCTGCTTTCTCCTCCCTCCCTGCCTCCATTTCTCTCTCTTCATGTCTGTCTGTCTGTCTGTCTGTATGGTGTCTCACTCTTGCTCTCTCTCTCTCTCTCTCTCTCTCTCTCTCTCTCTCTCTCTCTCTCTCTCTCTCTCTCGGAGTTGCTCCCTTCCTCTTTCTCTGAGCCGCCTTCTCCCTCTCCCCTTCTGTCTCGCTCCACTTTGCTCGACCTCCCTCTCTCCTCTATATTCCCCTGATACCGCTCCTGGCCTGCCCCGCCTCTGGTTCCCTCTTACCACCACTCCCCTCCCGCCTTATCCCGCCTCTCGCTGACGCCCTCGCTATGTCCCCGCCTCCAGCTCGTTTCCCCTTCCCATTGCCATCCCATCCCCGCCTTCGGACCGCCTCCTCCAAAGTCCAAGCCACCGTCATCCCCCCCCCCCCTGCATCCCCTCCACTCCCCCATGGAGGCCAGTTTCAGCCCCCACTGCCCCGGGGCAAAGAGCACAGTAATTAGTCGCAGTAGACGACTCCGGACCGGTAAGGTAAACAAGCAACTGTCAACATGAAGCAGGGACAGCGAGGTAACGGGCAGCGACAGAGAGTCCCGTGGGTGTATTGTGGGGCGTGTGATGGGGGCGACCCGGCACACAACAAAGAAGTTTGCTGAAAGCCAGGGCGAAAATAGAGAGGAGTTTGATGAGGGAGAGTTTTAATCGAGCGCTAGCTTTTGGTTGCTGGAAGAACAGTTTCCCTTTGCTCTCTGCCTAATTAAAAGCATTACAGTGATCCACACCTTGACCTAAAGACTTATTTTCGTATTTCTGCCGATGACGCCACAAGTAATCGCTAACACACCAGTCAGTGGCGTAGGTAGCGCGATGACATTGAATATGCAATAAGGCCTACTGCATCCGCATTGGGCTTCTAATTTTGGTAGAAGACAAAATAGCGATGAATTCCGGGAGCTTGAGATGCCAATGATTGAAATTTGAATATGATGCTAGTTCATTTAATTCAGACGTGGCCTGACGCAGAGCAGGACAAATTGCCAGCTAGGTAGCACACCTATCTCTGGGATTACGTGGAGGTATTGCTGTCACTTTTTACCCCGTTTGCTTGTCCGGGATAATGCCATTGGCCATTGCTAACTGTATTAGGCGTCTATCTAAGCTGTATGGGCGTTTTCCTCTAGTTGAACTTACACCAAAACTCTGAATTTGTACATACACTTCAATGTCAGTTGTCATTGATATCCTACCAGAAAGCAAAAAACAACGGACGCCATTTAATTGCGTCCCAGAAAAGCTATTTCTGGCATCTAAAAGCTGACTCGCCCCCAAAATTGGTCCTCAGCACCTATTTGGTGGATACCAGCACCAATCATGGAAAATGACCTTAATTAGCTGTTTCTGGCACCTATTCATCGGTACGCCTTACTCTTTTCTCTGAATCTGGCACCTAAATTCTGAGCGTAGCACCAATCTAGTAGAAAAATGAACTACTGGCTGGTAGAATCATGTTGTTCTGTATAATGACCCCTGGAGTCTAGCCTAAAGGTTGCCAGTGCAGCTACACTCTATGACGGCCCCGTAGTGATCTCAGCATTGTATATGACGTTAAGTAAGCAAATAATATTAATTTGTTTGAAAAACAATGTCATTTAAATATTTAAAAGTTTTATTTGTAATGCTTAAAGAGAAACATTTTTGTGAGTAATTGTCTCGATTTTGACCATTAAAACGGGTATGGTATTTTGACGTCATCAAATAGCTCCAAAAGAAATGTAATGTTTTCATTCCGTCAAGGCCGCTGAAGAAACGCGGGATCTTGCGTGGGACATTGTCCGTTGTTTGCCGCGCAGAGTTGTGCCGTGGTTGTGCCTTTTTCATCCGTTTCTTACGTATGGCATAGTGTGCATGAAGCTTTGATTTTTTTTTTTTTTTGTTATTGTGTGGCGGTCAGTCAAACGCCCCTGTAGAAACCGGATGCTGCGTTTGATCGAGATGGAGTCAGACGATGATTGCAGAAAGCTAATATATTGAAAAGAGGGCCGGTTGCGTGGCATGTCGTTCAGAGTTGACATTTTGCTTTACTCCGTTTATGACCTGAGAGCCTGGCTGGAAGTGACGGATCCAAACTTCTCACGTTAAAATGGCTGAGGGTGCAATAATCTCTAGTCTCTACATAGCGGGCTGGTATAGGAGCGTCTTGCTATGCTGCACCATAGCTCATAGGCGTAGGAACGTTTTCGAAAGTGGGGGGGCCAGGGTCCCAGAGATCTAAAACCTAACCTACCCCCAAAATCCGATTTCTCCTCGGATTTCGGCCACTTTGTTTTCGCAAACATGCTCAGAGGTAAAAAAAATAGAGACAAAAAAAGAAAAAACATTGGTTGAAATTTCAGGGAGTCTCCACTCTCCCGTCCATAAACTCAAACTGATGGACGCGTTCCCCTGTCCTCCGCAGCCGTTGGCACCCATGCAAATTCCAGAGGCATCCAGCAACTTTTTCATTACGAGCAAGCGTGAAACGTGCAAAGCGAGTCTTTTCAATATACCTATAAAAATCAGCATGAACGGCCCAGCTAGGCTCAGCCAGGCCTATAACGTTTTAAGAGGTTTTATATCGGCGACCACTGCAACTGGGCTGATCGACTTTCACTTATCAGAGGCCGGTGTGGGACTTTTAGACGGTCTGGGCCTTCAGAGGCCAGTTTAACCCTCCACGGCCCGGTCCTATAGGTTTTCTACATACGCGCTGGCCGAGGGGGCGGGGGGCGGGTACGACCCCCCTCGCCGTTTCGCCCCAGGTGGAGCTAGCGCGTCGCGGTAAAACGAGCGTGTGCGCCGTTACGAGACGCAGAGATCGATACCCGATTTTATGGTCCTAGGTCAACCAGTGACCTCTGACACCGTTCCGTGCTTCTATCCTCAGGATACTGAAATCCTTCTCCTCCACACCGCAACCCCCTCCGGGCTGGACAGGCAACTTTATCTCATGCGGGCTGCTCCCTTGGAGCGGCACCGCTGCTCCCGAGGGAGCGCACCCCGTAGCCGGGTGCAGTGAGTGCCTTGGGGCTGGGTGGCCTGTCCTCTGGACGGGCTCAGCCCCGGCGACTCACTAGGGTGCCTGCCCAGACCAATGTCTCCCCCTATGTATATCCTATCATCCTTCCGACTCTGAAATGGTCTCATTGGACTGAAAGGGCCTAACCCAACAAAACAAACAAAAACCGGTGACCTCTGAGGTCAGGTCAAGTGCCTCAAGGCACGGTTCCGTTTTTGGCGAATAACTTCGCAAAAAATGGCCGCAGAGCCGCGATTTTGCCAGCATCGTGTTCGCCTCTCTCAGGCGCGTCGAATGATATACTTTTTGTTTGGGTGAGGTAAACTTAGGGTGTTGACCTCGGGTCACGGTCAGGTCGGCGTCCCCAGGTCACGAAATTGGTCGAAGGAGTTCATGTCGCATATCATTCGATTCGGCAGGTCTTCTTGAGTCCATAGGTGGCTTTCCCGACTCGCTAGCTCAATTTGATCGGTACCTAGTTATTGACGAAAAACTCTTATTTCCACACACTTATTTCACACTCTCTTATCACACTCTCTTAAACACACTCTTATTTCCAAAGGTACCCATGAACAAAAGGCAACCTTTCATTTGTAGCTAATTTTGAATGAAATTGGGGAAATTGTAGGTAGGGTAGGTGCATAGGTCCGTCCAGAAAAGGCAACCCTGGGATTTACATAATTCTCCACCCCTGTCAAGGTCGCATTAATCATGCAATATGTATATTCACCAGATACACACCCACCTTTTTCGCAAAAAAACTTCTTATGTACAGTGGATCTAGTAAGGATCTCCAGACGAAACTAGATGGCGTTGAGCCTCAGTCGAGTCCATGTGAGATTCAAGGAGAGGTAACTACCGAGCTGAGCCCGGTGGGGATGTGGGGAGGGGCGAGGGGGCGGGGCGGGTGGCGAGGTCACGGTGCGGGTGACCTGTCAAACAGCTCCGGCGCGGTGGGGCACTGCCGCAGGCAAATGGCGCAGTCCATCGTTGTTCCATATCGCGGTGGTGGGCCGGGCGGCCGGTTAGCTTGGCAGTTGGCTGCTTGGAAGGAAAGGATAATGAGGCATGGGTTTGCTGTGGCCGGTTTATCTACTGTCAACTATGATGAACCCAAAAATGCAAATATGATGGTGGTATTGCAGCTGGCAATGCAATGCTACCGAATGCTCCGGGCGCCCAGTAGATATAAGGATTAATATTATTTATTTATGTCTCCTGAAATTTTCATTGAATATAACTCAAGCAATAGAAAGATCGTATCGTTCGCCAGTTTTTGACCGGCTGGCGCTTCTTGCGTAGAGCGCCCTTTGGCAAATAATTATCACGCAGGTGATTTTTTTACTGGTATAAGATGGGCCTTTAAGGTCAAATCAAGTCGCTAATAGAAGATGTGGAAAAGTAGACGAATGCCACATTTTTGTGCATGAAGTCTCGAGTTAAAAAAGCTAACAGTTAATATACGTGTAAGCTAAAACAATCAGATCAGTTAATAAAAATATTTGACCCGAAATTAGCCTCTGTTTTGTCTGACCATGATTGTGTGTAAGACACCGGTCCAACCGGGTTCAAACCGGCCCAACCTGGTTCGGCTCCCCCTTTTTAATATTAAATTTGGCCCGAACCTTTTGAATGAAAGGAATCACAAGCGCAGAGTCCCCGCTAAGGTGAACTTGTTGCGTTGACCCTGCTCTCTACCCTCCGATCAAACAATTCTTGGTCTATGGCAGAATTAGAGTCCAAATTTTAACCCTCGCATGTGTGCGGCGTTTGCCAGCTTCTAATGTGTAGGGGGGGGGGGGGGGTCGGTTGGACCCCCCCCCTTGCCGTTTGGCCCCTGATCGAGCTAGAGCTTTGCGGATAAAACGAGCGTGTTGCCCGTGACGAGAGGAAGCCGATGATACCCAATTTTAAGGTCCTAGGTCATTGGTTGACCTTCCAGGTCAGGTCAATGACCCAAAGTCGGGAAAATCGGGACCTGTTAGAAAGTCGTAAAGTGTGGCTGCTAAGGGGTTTTTCGGGGTGCTGATCACGAATATCGTGTTAGTTTTGATCACAGATGATGTCTTGAAGTATTTAGACCAGGTCGGGTCAGGTCAGGTCAGGTCAACCAGTAGGCGTCGTGACGGGTATTCGTAGTACGTGTCAACCGCCTCTGACAGCTTCGTAACATGTTACGAAGTCACCAAAACTACTTAGTAAATATTCAAATGGTTGCTAAATTCGAATTCAGCTCCAAAAACTAGCCTAGAAACATGTAAAACTAGAAAAAGTGACCCGAGGTCACCCGAGGTCACCAAAGGTCAATGACCTGACCTGACCTTCAGGTGACCTTGACACACACGGGAGTAACATCAAATCACATGTTTGAACGTTTGAAACCACGAAAAGCTTGCAAACACGCGGCTAGTGCGAGCCGACATACGCGAAATCGCGATTCCGGCCAAACATGGTCTCGGAAAAGAGGTCACAGGTCAAAGGTCATTTGGGTCAGGGTCATGAAATTTTCAGGGTAGGTGTAAAATTGATCAATGCGAGGGTACTGAAAGTTTCGTCGCGATCGGCCGCTTTTTACGCGAGTTATTCGCGAAAAACCATGGGGGGGTCCATCCGACCCCCCCCCCCTACACATGCGAGGGTTAACGTGCGCACATAGCCGCGCACGGCCGGTCCCCTCACTGACTTCGCCTGGCAGCGGCCTGCCACCAACCACAACCATACCCGTCAGGATGCTCAAAAACGTCAAACACACGTCACGTTTCGAAGTTCGAACCCGGACTCATGCGAACGGGACGAGCGCTCTCACCACATGGCACATGGAGTCCAACGCTCTACCAACCGAGCTACCGGAACGGACATTTACCTCGCGGTTTCGTCTCGTGACATTGACAGACGTCAGACACTTTGGCCGAACTTTAGCCGAAACACTGAGCAAGCTGCGCAGGGCGATAGGTGCTCGTAGCGTTGAGGTTGGGTAACCTGTGAGCTGAATGCGATGTCGTGAGTTCGAGCCCCACTCCCGGGTCTGGTTTTATCTCGACACGAACCAAACCTTTCCTTCTACTGCAACACAGATAAGCACGATGACATCTTACCCGAATATCTTTCCCCAATATCCTCTCAAAAAGTCAAAATTATCGCTTATAAATGTTTAGCAAAGTTTCATTTTTAAGAAAATATTTTTGGACATTTTTCTGGAGCCATTTCAATTTTTTCTTTCTTTTCTGATTATTTTCGGCCCGATAAAACCCGCCAAAACTGAACGTGCCAAATGAAAAATATCTAACTCATTACTCAAATAACAGTTAAGAACAGCCTCATCATGCATCATGAAAAGCATCATGCAACTATCGACTGAATAGTTGCATGCTATGAATGCGTCCTAGATTTCAATTACCTATCATTGTTCAACATTTTGGCTGGAACTGACGCTGCCTCTGGCTTGCCCGTTTGTTTGAGATGATTCCCTTCAGTCGCATTCTTGCTGGTTCGACATGAACAGGATACCACCATACCGGAGTGAACGCACCCGCAACCATCATCCCCTCCCCTCAGCCTCGGCGCAGTGGCGGGCGGCCCTGGGCGGCCCACTTCCGGCGCTACGCACGCCCCATGCGCCGTGATACCGCGTCACTCCCCCTCCCTCCTTCCCCCACAATGACCGGTGACCTCACTTCCCTCGGGATTTGGACTCTCCCTACCCCGACCGTAGCGCCACGTGGTGGCTCTGGAGATCTTAAATAGACCCACTGTACATCTCATTTCTAATTCTACCTGACTCAAACCAGATCTTCATCTTAGTGCCTTGACCAGATCCACAAAACGAAACCGGTTGGCGCAATAAACATATCAGATATGTCTCTTCTGCGCTGAATTTGAAAATTTACGCGCTAAATCGCTAAACTGCTGCATGTTTTAGACGGTGTTAATTCTACCTGCAAAGCACAGATTATCCGTGACAGAAACGGCACCGTGGCCCACTTTTTGTGTTTAGTTGGTTGAATCGTGTTTAAAGTAAAGAGCGAATCTCAGACATTGGAGTGCTCTCAAAAGTGGGGGGGCCACACACATTACTGGCCCCCCCACTCCAAAATGGTGGGGTGGCCGTGGCCCCCCTGGCCCCCCCGGTTCCTACGCCTATGCCATAGCTGGCTAGTGATTCTCTTTTGGCTAGAAATGGCATTAATCATTATCTCCACTGGCGAAAATGGCACTTGACATCACCGAATGCAACGTTCATGTTGTTAGGATACATAAAATCAGGAAGGTTACGCGAATTAGGTAGGCAAACGTGGAATAAAATAGGTGCTGGATGTTTTGGTTTTGGTGCTGAATCAGCAAACAGCAAATATGGAGTTCAACTCGACGATTTGGCAACTTTAGGCTGTGTGGAAGCAATTAGGTGCCAGATTCAGATATTAGGGTCGAATAAGCATTTTGGGGCTGATCAGCAATTAGGTGCCAGAAACAGCTTTTTAGGGACCAGAAACAAATATTCCCCAAAAACAACTGCCTGCATGTACAATATTGGATTTGCTCTTCGCTACGGAGCCATAGATGGATATTCGGTATCGTTTGCTTCAGGATAACTGCAGTTTTTGTTTGCTCCAAACTCTTCCATTGTTCCTCACCCCAAAGCACCCCACCCTTGTCCCTTAATTAACGCTGTAATTATTTGTTCTCATCTCCACAGTGTCTGAGCTGGGAGCGGCTACCAGCAGCGCCATAGACTCGAGGGAATCGTACGACTACACCTCCTGCTGCCAGCGGCACAACGTCTCGGACAGCTGCATCGGACTCTGCAACTTATACGTAAGTCGTGGGTTCAATTCCCATGACCAGATAGATACAAGTGGTGTGCTGCCAGCTAGTATGCATAGGCTCAACAGACGAGTAGTGCAGCATTGCATTAAGAGATTTTATTTTTATTAAGTTATATTGTGATATTTTCATGCTGGTTTACAGTTTCATTGCATTGAATCTGTGTGACCGCCTCCTAATTATTGCATTGACTTCTCGATTTAACAGCATCGACTTTTTATAAATATCAGCATTTCTACTCTACTAGAATCAAAGTGCCCCGTTATACCCGCCGTGAGGAGTTGAATGTTTCACCTGTATCACTTCCACAGGGTCTTCACAACGGTAACCAGTCGGAGGAGTCTGACTGTGAGGCCGACTTCCCGCACATCATTCAGTGCATGGCCGGTAAGTCCACAGGTCGTAACGTCCAAAAACGCATCCTCCAAAAACGCTGCGTATCGCTTGTATAATGTAGAAATATTATGGGGCGCACTTTGTATTTTTATGTAGAGTTTTTTTTTTAGCCATGAAGCTTTAGTTTCCTTCATGAAGATCAATCGTAATATTTTTCCACCTGACCCTATTTGACCCTATTTGATCTGGCCCTCCTGACTTGACTTGACCTGACCCGACCTGACCCGACCTCCCACCCTCAGACGGCCGGAACCACATGCCGTGCTGCGAGGAGCAGGGCGTTCCGGCCATGTGTAGCGGGATCTGCCGCGGTCAGTACGTCACCCAGCGGGACAGCATCAAGGATCACTTCAGCTGCGTGGCCTTCTCCAGCATCATGCTCAACTGCGTCGCTCGGGGTCTAGGTTAGTTTGGGGTTGACATTGTGCTTTAGTTGCACACACCGCAGTTTTACGCTTTATGTTGACCGCTATGAGATCTATTTAAGTTGTATTTTTTGTCTTCAATAAAACGCCAAATAAAACTTGTAGGGGAAGGTGGGGTAAGACGGCCCAGCGGGGCAAGACGGACCACCAGCCCTCCCGGCTGAACCATTGCTGGTATCTACTGCTTTATGCAGTGATGCACTCACTATGTTTGTTTTCCTTCGTAACAATGGCCACCTTGAGCTCATGCTGCTAGGATGCATAGCTTTTGAGTTATTGAGAAAAATGTTGTTTTTCGTCAAACCGATCTAAGATAAGAGGTCTACGGGTGATTCAATTACGGCGCCTTTCTTGCATGATTAGTTTCTATTTTACACTTAACTGTGAAGAACAAAGTTATAAACTTAGTTATAGTCACACTTTAGGAAAGGCAAGGTTTTGCAATGTTGGGCTATTTGACATATGCGTCATGATAATGACAGAATTTAGATTTGGGGCAAGACGGACCACTGTGGTCCATCTAACCCTGTGGTGGTCCATTGTACCCTGCGTATAGAAAGTTCTTTTCCAAAACATTGACACAAGTTTAAGCAAGCTAATTTTTCAGGAAGGAGTCTTTGTTGCATGTGAGCCATGCATGCAAGTGCTCAGTTAGCATGCATTCATGCCAAACGACAATCAACACACATGTTCCCAGCTTTTAGCTGCACTTCCATCACACATGAGTAAAGAATAAAGGCTCATTTTGTTATTTTACCATTCTGGTTACTTTTTCTTACAAGAGTATAGAGCAGAAGTGTAACACACATGAACGGATAGCAGGCACTGCTGGGTGGTCCGTCTTACCCCACGTTTTTTCTTGTCTGAGTTTTTGACATGTCCCTCTTTAAGAGCATCCATCACCTAGATGTCTTTAATTTGAAATTTAGTCTTTACACGTATCAACAGAGGAAGGATTGAACATTCCGAAGACTATAAATAATATGAATTAGGAGAGCAGTGTAGCAAGATATGCGGCCTCAAACCTTAGCTGGTCCGTCTTACCCCACCTTCCCCTAATAACGTAAATATTTCCCAGTAGATGAGAGGTAAACTAGATGAAGCATAAGCTAGTTAAATATAAACAAGTTTTTTTAAAAGTCGTATTTGTATTGTGGTCGAATTAAAAAACAACACAAATTTACTTCACCTTCAATATTTTGTTTACCTTCTCCAATTTCCCCCACGGTTCGTGACACGCGATGGTTCATTTGGCGCCACGGCTGGCTGCCGGTATTTTTCTGGGGAAGCTGTTTGTTACCTGCCGGGCCCTCTCAATAAAGTACGTGATCGCGTGCAGACCCGTCGGCCATTGATCCGACTTCCGGGAGCTGTGTGTTGTGCTCTCCGCACCTGGCGATCGGCCGGTGAAATATGAATTTTGTTTTGAGTCTTCCTTGCTGGGGTGTCAATCTACTGTCGATCTACCGATCTATTAGTGGCTGGGGGTTATTATTTTATGTGTTTTTATTCGTTTAGTATTTGAAAATGAACAGCAATGAGCGATAAGCACGACAAGTAAAATAAGAAGTGAAAGACACACATTGTCTTACCAGTTCATTCCTATTTACCCTTGCGGGATCATTATGTTTCAATGTTTAGAACGCAGTGATTAATCGATCATCGTAATTAATTGGATTTCCGTACAGATGCAAGCTTTTCTGATAAAACGCTGATCTTTAAAACGAAATCTACCTCAGCCATATTAGCTCAGTCAAATTATGTCTATCAGTTTGGAAACAGAAATGCTATGGCCATTTAGCCACGAAATATCCATAAACGTCGGTTCAGTATTGACCATCAACGATTATCTCCGCAGACACTCTACCCTCGGCGCCGCGGAATATCCAAGTATCCGTCAAGTCCCTTACCGAGCTGCAGGTCACGTGGTCTCGGCGTCGCACGAACGCCCCGCCCCCTGACCTCTTTACGGTCAACGTGACCCGCTTGAGGCGATTTGACGGCAACATGCTCGGACTGGATGTCAATGGGACCGAGCTGGGAGTGACGCAGGCCCAGGACACGCAGCTTTATAATGTGAGTTGTGTTATGATGTGAATAGGTGGCTAGGCGGAAAGGGATGATTCTGGTTGTGTTTTACCTCTTGTATAGTTTATGACTGTTTGTGTATATTTATGCATTAGTCGAGTCTTTTTTTTTTGAAGGACATCCGAACATTCACTTGATTCACTTGAACATTTTACCTTGATTGGCCGCACATATAACGTAAATATCCCCATAAAGGAGCTACTCATGCCATGAGTTTTTATGCCGCCCCCAAATTATCTTGCTTATCTTTTGAACTATCAGATGCCTGGATAGTTTGGTAATGGAATGCCACCCCTCCCCCCAATAGAACTGATTAGAAGTGACAACCAGGGATCTCCACCTTTTGCCAAACCGTATATAATATCACTAAACTAATGTCTACCTCACACAGCTAATCTGGTAGAACCCCGTAGAACTAATTTCCGCCACAACATTGCGATCATCAGATAAATAGCGTTTTCCCTGTCTCGCCCACTCTCCATGATAGCGAATGTTTCCTGTGTGCGCCGCGAATGTCTTCTGGCGACGTAGATCCATTATGGTGCGTCATTTTCGCCTTTTGGTCTGGTGCGGCTACCAAACCGCGTCGCTTTGAGACCCAGTCTTGTGGTAAATTGCGCTCTGGGGCTGAAGAGCACCAGAAAGCTGGCCTGTTGGATGTGGATAACATTATTCTAGGAAGAATTTATGCTGCCATGAAGCCCGCGACGTGCATTGTTTTCTTTTAGGCTGAGCTTGCAGCATAGTAGACCGGACAACTATATTTTATATCCAGTAATTTCTATGTGATGTATTGGCTCATCGTTGGACTTGATCCAATTTTTAAACATCGATATTATAGACGGTAACCGAAAGATTATTATGATCCATAACTTCGGCATTTCGAGTACTGCATTCTGTCCATTCATGCTTAACCCGCGACCTGGTGGGGGGGGGGCTATTTTTTGCCCCCCCCCCCTCCAGACTTTTCGATATATCTCCAGAACCGCTGCGCCGATCGTCACCAAACTTTCAGTACCCTCCCGGACATCAATTTTACACATTGTGACCAAAAATTTTTCCAAAGGCTATGATAGGTTGGCCGGAAATGACGTCAGAGTGACGTCATGTTCTGCCGTTTTCGACCCAAAAAAGGGTTTCGCGGGAAGAGCTGTCAGGCCTATAGCTTTGCAAATACAGAAAAATGATAAGGACATAAAAGCTGTAGAATGAACAGGGCTACAAAACTGCTATCTCAGATTTTTGAAATTGTTGGATTTTGACCCCCAAAAATCAAAAAAATATTTTTTTTTGATATAATAATCGAAAAATCCAAAAAGTTTTTTGAATTTCGCAAAAACCGGAATATATGTGATAGTCCTTACTGCCTTCCATCCACATACCAAATTTGAGATTGATACCTCTTTTTTGGCGAAGTTATAGCGAAAAAACTGTTCAAAATTGATGACGTCAAATTTTCAAACTCAATTTTTAGCAATTCTAGACACCGTATCGCAAAACAAAGACCACCATTAGACTCCCCGTGACGAGCTGCATCGAATCAATACCCATTTTATGCAAAACTATCAACTTTTAAATTTGACCCTTTTGGCCTGACCTTGACCTGACCTTGACCTGCACTTCACCAGAAAGTGACCTAAGCCGTACCTGATAGTCTTATAACCAACACCATTGAGTTGGAAATGAAAAATTGGCCATAAAACATGCATCACACAACCTTAGTAAAGTTGGGCTCATGTGACCTGACCCGTGACCCTTGGTGACCTGACCTGTGACCTGACCTGGTATTGTCAGTGACCTCTAATAGCAACATATCTACTAGGCAACTGACGCCCTATCGCTGATTCTCGACAAAATGCGTTTTCCTCGGTGTTATAGCGCATTCCCTAGAAGACCCGTGAACGGTGAAACATTTCATCTTTGACCTGACCTGTGACGTCATCGGTGACCCCGAGGTCAATGAAATTTGGTTTCCTTCGACAAATTTGACAGGCCTTTCGAACGCCGTTTGAATTTTGCGGATCCGTCCAGTAGTTTCGGAGATACGAGGGGGGGGGGCAAAAAATAGCCCCCCCCACCAGGTCGCGTTATAAACAGACCCCACCAGGGCGCGGGTTAAATCGTATAATATGCTAGTCGAAAATCTACAAAACGTCATTTCACGAGGGACTTCCCACAACATAATTTTTCATCACACACAGCCATGTACTCAAATTGGCACCTCACGCCCCCTCCTCTTTCACAGGTAACCGCCGAGCGAATGTTCCTCGTAGCCAACTCTCTACAGCCTCTCACCATGTACGAAATATCGGTGACCGCCCACAACGCCGCCGGCAGTAGTTTGACCTCAGACCGGGTCAGGGCGGTCACGTGGTTATCAGAGACCTATAACTCGGATGTGAGCCTGGCGCCCGGCCTGCCGGATGTGCGACAGTGCTGCGAGGACTCGGGGGTGACTGAGCCGAGGTAAGTTTGAGGCTTGATAATAAATGTGAAAAAGTTTGAGGCGTGGTAAGGGTGGAGGAGGTTATAATATTTTAGATAGATAGTATACGGTGGAATAGAGGGTTGTTCCCAGCTTCAGTTTCCTACCATAATACAAAATAAACAGGAAAATAAATAAAGATGCAAAAACATAAAGATTACAAAACCATCACCACTAACCACCACTACGACTCAACACCCAATCCTTCCCCTCTGTCACCTGTAAGGTCGTCGGGTCAAGAGTCACACCTGTCGGGGTCACGGGGTCAGCCAGCGAATCCCCCGAGTTCGGTCATCTCCACCAGCCGTCGCCGCCTGAGACGGCTTTGATGTGTCGCCGGGTGGTTGCCTCGCTGATTGAACGGCCGGGGGGGGGGAGGGGAGGGGGTCGAAGCACGGTGGATCAGGAACACCTGTGGAAGTGGAGGGGGTACGGCGAAAGGGACACGGAAATAAGATGCTGGATTGGATCGGATGTATAGCACGGAAAAGGTATTCGTAAGCAAGGACCAGTTTTTCTTCATGGTAACGGCCAAAAATGAATTATTTGGGACGGCTAATAACAAAGAAAAAAAGAAAAAAATATAGAAACCGACATAAGCGGCATTTCTTGCTTAAATTCTGTCGAGCTTTAAATAATTTGGGCTTATTATGCGACTTGAGTCTAACTTTGTCATCAATGCATCACAAATCTGGCACCAATGTATGCCTTCTAACACGACTTCTGCATATGATTACGCCTCCCGTATTGCAATAACACCCTCTCCGTCCTCCATAGCTCCATCGATCCACCGTCTATGAGACAGGCCTGCCCTCGGGCGGTGAGCCGCACCGCATCAGGCAACAATGACACCGGGCGACCTCTGACCTTGATAAATGACCTATCTTCGGAGACTAACGCGCTCGCTAGCTCGCGGGGCGTCACCAAACGGTTCTCCCTATTGGAATCAAACGCCCCTGGGGGTCGCCTCAGGGTCTCATGGTCGCCATCTTGGACGGTGCTTTGTCGAATATTGGTGATGCTATCGTGGAGGAAGATAGGTGATGGCGGAAAGTTGGGAGGTGATAAAGGGAAAGGCGAGAGAAGCGGCGAGAAAACGGGCGGGGAACGGGGAGCGTTTGAAGCGCCAAAGGGATGTTATAAGGCTGGCAAGGGGTTAGATAGAAAAGTGGTAAAGCTCTCAAGTAATGAGATGTGAAGAGGAGGAATATCACAGAAAAGCGAAGCATGTTATGGATAAACGTTAACAGGGAGATTTTTGAAAATTGTCCGAAAACTCAGGCCGCTGTTTTTCAATAGAAAAGCACAATTCTCACGAATAGAGTTTTGATTCATTGGAGATAAGCTCTCGGTTATATCATAATTTGTCTTTCATCATTCGCTACTTTTTCAATAATTAAAGTCACGATTATTCGCATTGAACTATCTGCACTGTCCACTCCGTCCTCCCAGTGTTGTCACTATTTCTTGTTACGTCACTCTGACGTCACTCCGCCCATTCTCAGGTGTTTGCGCCAGCTGTGTGACCCGCGCGTGGCCAGCGACACGGTAGTCACTGACGTCATCATCTGCGCTCCGTGGGCCGAGAAGACGTTTGCTTGTATGGCTGATGGGAGGGACCACAGTGCGTGCTGTCGCGCCCGAGGCCTGCCACAGATCTGTGTCGATCTGTGCGCCGGAAATGTCACCAAAATCGACTTCAGATACTTCCGGTGAGTGCGAGATACGTTAGCATGTGAGATGTTTCTTAGATGCTCTAAGATAATGTCCATGACAATTTCTTGGTATACTTTACTTGTTTTGGTGAGCTCAAACTAAATGTAGGATTTTTTATTTGCCCAATATTTCTTAGTTTCTTCTTCCAACAAATTCTAATCTACCCCTTTCCCCTCGCAGGTGCCTGGGCTTCATGGGAAGCTACGCCTCCTGTCTGATGCAAGGCTACGGCGTGGTGCCCTCTGCTCCGGTGGACCCGCGAGTGGCACTCGCAGAGAGCTCATTTGCGGTTTTGCGCTGGAATCCGCCCGGCACGCTGGCTGATACCGTTACCAGGTGAGGGACTTTAGCGATGAATATCAAACGCTGGTGGTTGTCTGCGATTTTATATGTAAATGTTTGTGAGAGATTTTAAGAAAGTCTTAAATCGCACTTTTGTGGTGGAGTAGACTGTCGTGAACCTTGTTGTGAATCACGGAAAGCCAGTGCTTTCGAAATAACCGTGACGCATTTCAGATGGCTTCTAGACATAAAGCTGAAGTCAAACTATGAAATGTGTCTCAACATAGCTCAGCCTTCAGCGCCATCAAATATTATCCCGTTTCTCATTTGTTAAGCCGATATCGATGTTGTCCAGTTGTGTTGCAGATCGGGATTTGTTCGTATTGACTCCGGCGTTCTGATTTATGGTAATTGGGCATCGACTAGCTATGAATAATATTGGTCAGGAGATCGAGAATGACAGTGCATCGTTTACTAGCGGAAATGCAATCTATTATGACGTATAGTGGCGAATATTCTGCGAATTGCCAATTGGGGCGTTATTGATTATCGTGTTTATGTTTGAACTAATTTTGATGTGTTTTATTATTTTAGAACCCTTTCCAAGGAGCACTGATGGGTCATAACCTTGATGAGATTGACTGTCTTCTGTGACAACGTTATACAGCCAAGATTTGTTCGGGATGGCTATATTTCACCCGTTATATTAATTGATCACTTCGGCGCTCAGTAGCTTCCAGTGTCGTTGCAATAACCATTGACCTGCGGAAGCTTCATAAAGATTTAACGAAATCATGAACTCAATTCTCAAATGCAAATGTCTAATGCACCGCTCGCTCACCCATGTATGTGTCACGCTTCAAAACCACAATACATAATCTGATTCAAACAAAGAAACCAACAACTGACTTCACCATCTTCCCCACAGCTACACCGTGGTGTACCGTTCAAGTTTCCCTGAAACGGAAAACGACACAGCCTACAAGACCATACTGGACGTTCATTCGCCGTTCCTCCTGGGTGACCTGAAGGCTGATACCGACTACGAGTTTTACGTGGAAGCGGTCAACCAGCGGGGTGCCGGTCCTCAGAGCTCCAGGGTGCTGTTTAGAGTGAGTGAAGGGTGTTGGAGGGGTGCAGGGATTGGGGATGTTGTACGGGTACAGAGAGTAGGGGACGGGTGCTGTTATAGGGTGCGGGGAGCGGTTGAAGGTAGGAAAGGCTAAAGGTAGGTTGATTATAGGGACATTTTATTGGCTAGAAGAGCTAAGAAGTCGTTGAAGCGTCAAAAGAGTTCATAACACTTCACGGGGACACTAATCTTAAACATGACTTCTACATCGGCGTATAATGTGAAGACTCTGGTTATCAAGGCGTGAGAAATGTCTTCGTCATGATTGTGTAACTCCTGTGGTTAAATTTATCGCTGCAACAGCTGTGATCATAGTGTCATATGAACTGTGGTGTGGCCAATGGTGTGATAGGATCGCGACATCTCATATACGACACATCAAAAGTAGCGACCAGCTTACATCCTACAAGAGGCAAAAGTGTCAAGTGCTAAATGAAATTAGCTTTCAAATAACTGAGTGCCTTTGGGATAGTATTTTTTCAACAGCCCAAACACAAAACAATGAGGCGGAAGCGTCTTGTACGAAATGGCAAATGTTTCAACTTTTCACCCAACGGTAGCTGCCCAAACAAACTTATGCTTTTTCTTCCGCGCCCCGGCCGTGCCGTGCTCGTTGGGGCCATTTCAGCATTCCACAGGCTACATCCGTCGCCCTTATGAAGACCAATGGTTCTGTTTGGACGCGCTCGCCGGCTTTTTGCGTCTCAGAATAGATCTTATCGACTTTCTCGTGCTTTGGGACATTCCGGTGCCCGCGGCACGCTGATGTGCGAAACTCGGTGATAATGATGTCATCAGAAGTGAAGTTATGACGCCATCAGGGATTTCGCAGCGATTTTGCCGAGCCGAATGCGTGCTGGTATGAATATTATTCCATTAGGCATATTTATGCATTTCGTTGGCTGCCAAAAATAGGACCAAAAACCCGCAAGATGATAAAGTTACGTGAGATGATCTGATGACAAAGCAAACCAAACATTTAGGCATTTATTTACATCTGCTTCTCCTACTGAATTGAGCTTAACATTAGGTTTTTGCATTTACAAAGCTTAATTATATTTTGCGTTGTTTGAATTTCATGCAAGAATATGCACTATACGCAGGCTACTCTCGGTGTAAGCGGAAGAAACTTAATCTTAAACGTCATCTACATATTCCTCTGCCAGTGACTTCCACATCCACCCCCGTCTCTACCACCGATCCGCCACTGCCACAGACGATGCCGGAGAAGATGTTGGTGCAGGAGGCCACCGAGAGCTCCTACAACCTCAGTACCTGCTGTATGATGGCGGAGATGAGCCTGGCCTGTCTGCCTCTCTGCCACTATAACGCGCGGATGTCGACTATGAAGGGCCTGGCGCACATCTGCGCTCCCGAGTATCATAAGGTGAGGAGGGGGATAAGCTGTTAGTGAGTTAGAATAATTAGGGGGAATAGTGTGAGGAAGGATGAAGGAAAATATTATAGGAAGAAGAATAGAGTAAAACAGGTTGGAGGGTGAGGATAATCACAATATATCTGGCGTATTTGTATATTATATTTGGTTATTTATTGCTCTTTTGGTGTGTGTGTTTTTTTAATAATCATGTGGCCAGTCTATTTTATGGCGTTTTACTGCGTTTTTTGTAGCAAGTTCAAGCTCAGAAAAACGTCACGATTGTGTTTTTGGATTTGCTAAGATGTATAATATGCTATGGATGGCTGTGGTCTTAGATAAGTCTCTTATTGTGTTTGCTCCCAGATAGTTTGGGAGTATTAGACACTTTGTCTAAGTGAGTACTATGTCCGATACATGGACTGTTATATTTCCCACTCACCTCACACCTCCCCTCCCCTCTACCCCAGCTGCTCCGCTGCTCTGCCGGCGGCCGGGACCACACCGCCTGCTGCGAACGCCGCGGAGTGCCCACCAACTGCCTGGGAGCATGCCGAGGCGAGGGCACACTGGCCTCTGAGTGTACTCCCTATCTGGGAAACCTGTGGCAGTGCTATGAAGAAGGCACGGGTCGTCTGCCGGCACCTGTGACCGGACTTCATGTGACTGGAGTGACGAATCATAGTGTGATGCTGATTTGGGAGGAACTCGAGGGCAACTTCACCGGATTCCGGGTAAGTTGAATTAGGAGGAAGAGAGGAGAGAAGAAGTGAAGGAGAGGGAGAGGGTAACGGATAAAGGGAGAGCATAGAAGAATAGGATACGGCATGTAACAATACGAAACAAAGCGACTCAGACCTCTAAAGCCATTCGGCACCTTTGCGTTGAGCCTATTCTTGCTGTTGCACCTTTTCTTTGCTGTTTTTTTTTATTTCAAACAGGGGACTGCTACGGTTGATTTATATTGTATCTGTTTTGTTTCAGGTAAAGTACGGTATCATCAATGCTGAGAGCAGGAATAAACTCGGAATGGAACAGCTCACCACGGTAAGCAATTACTCATACCCATAATACGCTATCTAACCCTTTTAGAATCTCTCAGGATCAAAAAGATGTTTATGATGATTTTTAAATATGTTATAAAATATGTAAATATGTTATTCCATTTTGTATACAGATTACGCAGCAGTTGCTCACTATCTAGGTTACGGTCAAAACACTCCAAATCTTTATTCTAAGCCCTGACCCGGGTACTCTGCGGCCATTTCTGTTCCTCTCGCGTGGTCCGGCCAATTTCCGATTCTGCGGTGCGTTTTGAGCACCAAGGGCGGTCCCAGGGAAGTTTTTTACCAGCGGTAACGGGGCCTGATCCGGGTGTCTGGTCGGCCAGGGCTGCAACGGGAGAATGCTGAGTAGGATGTTGCAAGCGAAATGGTGTGGGAGAGAGAGAGAGAGAGAGGAGGAGAGAGAGAGAGAGAGAGGAGAGGAGGAGAGAGAGAGAGAGAGAGAGGAGAGAGAGAGAGAGAAGAGAGAGAGAGAAGAGAGAGAGAGAGAGAGAGAGAGAGAAGAGAGAGAGAGAGACGAAGTTGGAAAGACATGAGTCTTGGTTAGATGTAATTGCTGAAGCAAATGCGAACTAAACAAAAAGAAAGTCTGCGTGCTGGTGCAGGAAATCCCTCTCCATTTAATTCGTTTTCTAAGGTCTATCTGTTGTTAGAAGTTCATTGGTGCAGAATGCCGCCGCTAGAAGTTAAGCAACGAGAAATAACCTATTCACTTGAAGTTAAACTTGAACGAGAACTGTGGATTAGAGGTGGCAAAATGTGGACCCAGGACCCGTCCAAAGATCCAGTCTGGACCCATATGGGTCCAGACCGTTCCTGGAAATTTTCTGACGGGTCCAACCGGTCTTACCATAAACTATACATCTTG